TTTATTTATTTATTTTTTTATATCACCCCTTTGTTTGGCAAAAGATCACTTATAGGTGGTCTTATTACAACAACATATACTTCAAAATAAAATCAACATGGCAATAAAACCAATAGCTTAGAATATAATGCTATTGAAATAACTATGCACTATGTTTGAGAATAAAAAATAAGATTGCAAGAAATAAAAGAAAAGAATGCCGGAGATTACCTCAACCGGGCTTATTACACTCCACCTCGAGTTACCACGATCTGATGGCGTGGGATCGATGATCTTGTTTCAATCTCAAACTGAGAAAGCAAATTTCGACCAAGCTACACCAATGGAACATAAACCCCTTTGATCACAAACTCAAAACCTATGTGAATTCACATAGCAACCTAGTTTGAGAGAGATGGATTCTCTTTTTGCTAACCCTAAAACCCTTAGCCATAAATCTATAGTTGAAAGATGGGAGAGACAAGAACTCAATAGCCTAAACCCTTAGCCCCTTTCACAATGTGGGATAGAGAGATCAAACATGAGAGAGATAAACTTTTTTAAGATAGAGCAAAAAGATAAGGTGTGTAGAGATTTTGGGTAAAGATAATCCCTTTTTTATAGGCTTGAACAATATTAAGATTTTTTAAGGTTTTTCTTGGCTTATCTTTTCTTGTGAGATTGAACATGGACCGTCGATCAAGGGTAACTTGTGGGTTGAGAGATCTGAACCATCCATTTTATAGATGGGTCATCAACATTATGGTAGGGGCATGAACCATTATCCCCCTTTCGTAGACCATTTTTCCATCAAAAGAAAATAAGTTAAATTAATTTTAATTAAATATTGTACATTCTATAAAATACTACATCTCTACACATATTTTCTATAAAATCTATCAAAGATATATCAAATCAATATCTACTTCCATATTAAGTCAATATATGGTCAATACATACTCAATCTATAACTTGACCACATGTCACAATTTAAAATTAACAAAACATAACGCCACAGGGACCACAAATAAAACTTTCCATAAAATAGAAAGTAGTAAGAGGTGGGGCGTGCCACCCATGGGAGGCACATGTGGGCCCCACCTTCTAGAAACATTGTGGGCCCATATACACAATGGACCCCCATGATTATTATTTTTTATGCATTTAAAATTAAACAAATAATTTCTAATGAATATTAAAACATTGTAAAATTAATATCTTTAATTTTATAAATCAAAAAATTATAAATAAAATATCGAAAGGTTCATAAAAATTCAAACAATAATTTTAAAATAATCCTTATCATAAAACAAACACAATTAAATTAATTTGATAGGAAATTGATCCATATGGTTTAAGAATTGAATCGACAATCATGCGGCACTCCATTTTCAATTGTGGACTACAGACCACACTTGCTTTATCAAACCGACTAAGTGTTTCTCATGACCCACAGTCCAAGCAGGGGCTCATTAGTGGATCACCAAAGTTTGGCCGATAAGCCAAGGGGTTGCAATCCTAGTATGTGGATTATAGGTCCTCCTTTAGAGACGAGTCTAAGTCACCAAGACCTCATGCGACCACAACTACATTGCGCATAGGGTAATCTCTCGCATATGCATACGCTTCACCCTAAAAAATGGATTTCTGACTTTTTCGAATGATCTATCGATATGCATGTCGTGTGATGGCGCATGGATGAGGTTTTGGTCCTCGTCTCTATAGGCCACCATCACACACAAGGGTCACATAGTCTCTCGGCTCACTCATCCGGGCATGTTCTCCGACCTCATCAAGGGCCAACCCATGAACCCTCCTCGGTTTGTTCTTCATGCCCAGGTAACATGGGTTTTTTTCAACCGACTAGCCTAGATCGTCAAGCACAGTCCGGTATCTGCAAACATCGTTTGCATGGTATGGTCTACGAGGGACCACACTCTCACTGAGTTCATGTTCCACTATGTCATTTCATTTTACAAGCACTCATAAAGCTTTTAAATGCCACATAAACCCAAAAACTCAGTTAGCCCTAATGGTTTTTGTCTTGAATTTATGCACAACACCATTACAAAATTGTAGGGATTGGAGCTCAAAGAAACATGCAAATCTAGGTTTCATATTGATGAGCTACAAAACACACAAAAGCGCCCAAATTGTGATGCTTACACAGCCTACAAAACACACTCTTACTGAGTTCATGTTCCACTATATTATTTCATTTTGCAAACACTCATAAGGCTTTTAAATACCACATAAACCCAACAAACTCAGTTAGCCCTAATGGTTTTTGTCTTGAATTCATGCACAACACCATCACAAAACTGTAGGGATTGGAGCTCAAAGAAACATGCAAATCTAGGTTTCATATTGATGAGCTACAAACCACACAAAAGCGCCCAAATTGTGATGATCTTGCTGTGTTTCCTTACCATGTTAGAACACGAAACCAAAACAACAGCCTGCAAAGGGGAACACTTACGAGAGAGAACAACTTCATTCATTCAATAAAAGAGTACAAGTACACAGTATTAGAAACCACGACTTGTGGACGGAACTTGACATGGGCCGAGCCGGAGTAGCCGAGTAACTCAAGCCAAGTTCCGATTTGCACGGCCCGAGCAGGCAAGGTCATGCCAAGCAAAAAAGTGTTTAGAAAAAAAAAAAAAAAAATCTAAAACAAAATATGAAAATATGTTAAGTAAAATTAAACAAGCACACATAAATAATAGTTAAAAAAGTAGTAACATAACTGGATTTTGAAAAATATCAATTTGTGACAGCAGATATTTTAGAAATAATCTAAAAAGAAGGAAAAATATAAAAAAATACTCATGGCCAAAATATTTTCCAATCTTTGCCAAGTGATAGAAAAAGTAAAGAAACATATTAAAAATACATTTTTTATTTTGTTTGGATACATTTTTCCAATTTTGTCAAGCATATACATTTTCCAATCTTTGCCAAGCAGATACATTTTTTATTTTATTTAGAACAACATTTCCGATCGATTTTTGAAGTGCATCTGTGATTCTACATTTTAAGGTTGCAACCTTATATATACGTTTCCATATATATATATATATATATATATATATATATATATATATATATAAAGTCTTAAAAACGCCTATAGACAAAGTGCTACAATGTTTTGCCCCTATCATAGTCACGAACATGCTTTGTCTGTGGTGATTTTGCCTAAAAACCGTCACGGATCTACAAGAGCCGTAGCAGTCCCCCCATATATGTCACTTCAAATTTGCATGAAAAAAATCCCATCACAGACTTGCTATGTCCGTGACGGACCGCCACAAACATACTAAATCCGTGACGGTCTTTAATCCATATTGGCGTTTTGTAGTCTCTTCCACACACACACATATATATATATATATATATAATTTTATTTAGTATCCCTTGAGTTTGACCAACAAACTTGGGATATTGAAGCTCACGGTGGCAAGCCCGAATTACTTGGGCGCAAGTTCGCTCACCAGAGTAGTCAAACACCACAAGTACATGCATATATACGTACGGAGGTCCTACCTAATCTAACAACTTCCTAAATCTCTTCACTCATATATAAAAGAGCAAATTACGTACCGACCCTAAATTAATAGGGAAAATACATAATGTTTTACTTATAACCAAAATTTGGTTTTCAAAATTGCCCCTTGATCCGAGGATGCATCCTTGCATAGAATTTGATTTTTATTTAGTTATGTTTCTTTAGTAGGGCATTGCCCCAAGCTTTAGGGTAATACTAAGGAGATCTGAGGTTAGAATCCTCGAACTGCGGACTGGACTAAGGGCACCTCATTATTTTAGAGGTATGAGGTTCCCATCCTCAGACGGACCTCAGACCGCTGGTTTCCTCAAAGAATAACACAAAGTGTGGACCACTAAATGGAGGTCTGAAATTTGGAATTATTTCAGGGAGCACATCAGCATCTACAGCCAACAGTGTGGAGTGTGGACCACCACCAATCAATAAATCGTGGTCTTAATTCATCCAATAATCTATTAGCTTATCTATCAAACAGCCTTCATTAGGCTGTCAGGGCCTGTTTGATATATATATTAGTGTCAGTCCTGAAATTTAGAAGGCCGTTTGGTGCAGATATTTCATTGGCATCAGAAGGCTCAAGAAACCCAGGATTTGTTTCAGAAGTTTTTGAAAGTGAGCGATAATGGGTTCCTCTGTAGAAAGCTAGGGTAGCTTTCTTTCTCCAAACAACCAACCCTCCAGTCTTAATCTCCAAGAAACATCAGAACTAATGCTTATCTTCTGCCGATTATTAAAATCAAGCAATTTAGGACTGAAAAAAACATAGGCTTTCAGTGGCTGTTGATCAACAAGATAAGCTTTCATCTACCAAATTAGGATCCACAAGTTTTGGAGAACATTCAAACACGTATATCGAAAGATCAAAACTCAAAGAATCAAAGGATTTATGCATTCTTATCCATTAAAAATTTAAAGAACATTCCAATACTAAATAAAGAGATGAGCAGATGATTTTTCCATTCTTAACCGTCTTTATAGGAAATGCTTTCCAATGTAAGGCCACCACTTAAGAGTCCCCGCATTCATAATATCACTAAAACACACCGCCTGATCGGATGTTCTTATAAAAGCACAAGGAAAAACATACGTATAAATATAACCTTCTCGTCATTTCAGATAATTGAATCTCAATCTGTTCTAACCAACTTTGCTACCGAAAGAGCATTGTCTTATTTTGACGACCTCTTGAGTTTGGTTACGTTACTTTGAGTTTGACAAAAATTCAGCTTACATTTTTTAAGGAAATCCTGAATGTTCAAACGTCCCAATTGCAAACATAGGCACCATGTGCATGAACATCCACAAATGCTCTAAACCTAAATAAAATTTTACTACTTGAACTCTTGAATATGCTCTACAACAACACAGAATTGGAGTCTTTTCCTTCTTCAATCTTCGAGAAACAATGTTTTCAGCCATTGGCCATGGCAATATGGTTTCCATAGCTTGGTCTTCACTAACAGATACTTCAATGGTAAATTAAACCTGCCACTAATGAATTTGTGGCCCCCTCACTAAAACTAGAATTAATTTTGCTTGGAATGGCCACTTCATCTGATAAAACCATGTGGGTTTCTTTATTTTGCTCATTTTCTTCATAAATCTCCTTCAGTTTTGTGATGTTTTCTTTCTATAATTAAACTCATCGCATGCTTTGTCCTCCCTCCTCCAAACTCCTCCTGTAAGAGCTTTATCATCTGAATTCTTTTCATTACCTGACTTTTTTCTACTTTTGGATAAATCCAACACATCATCAGCAGGCAATAGAAGTGGGCCTCTCATCCATGGAGCAGTAGGCATTTTAACTTCATTATGATGCCCAATCTTTCTTAGGAAGGTTCATTTCAAACTGGTTTTTAGGTACTGTTTTGAGGCGATGCGGCATATTAACGGGAGAAGTTGGTATGGCACCATTGAGATAAGAGTCTTTGCAAGGTGGGTCTTGCAAATAGTTCTGCTCACGCCATGGAAACTCTGAACCAGAGCTACCTTCCTTGAATGGAAGTTCTTCTTCCGCCAGATTATTGGGTATTTCATCAAGGGAAAGCTGCACGTTACCATTTGAGCGCCATATTGTACCATTTTTAGCATCAATTTCACCAAACATAGACCTAGCAACTGAACCTAGACTTTTGGGGCTTCTGAAACTGTTTTGGGATGGTAAATTTGCAGAAATGGAAATGTTCATGAGAAAACCTGGAGCGAGTCCATGCTTTCAAGGAAAGGCTTGATTGGTATCTAGAGAAACCAGTGCAGAATTCATGGCCTGAAGAAAAATCGAAGCCATTAAAGAAGTTTTAAAGGAATTCACAAAGCTGTTACCTGATATTCAAGGAAAAATGGGTGCAAGCAAAGCTGTATCATTTTTAGAAATTGTATCGAAGGGCTGTCTCGGAAGCCACTCGGGTAAGCCGGAGCGTATACTATGATCCCGTGGGAGAATATTGTATAGTGATTCCTCCGGCATAGGACTTAAAAGATTTTTTTTTTTATGAAATTTTGGGAACTTTATGATGATTGTATTCAACAGAAAAAAAATTGCATCTTGATTATTTTCCAATATTTAGATTTCACCTTGAAATTTGAAAGTTTTCTAGTTAATTTAATGGAAAATTATCACCGATATACTTTAATTTTTGTCTATTTAAAAAAAAATCATGATCTTTCATAAACTTCGTCCATACCCTTACCTTCACGATAGTCATACCATGAAGTCAATTACAGTACTTTAATTACTGTAAAAAGTAATCGATGTTATACGACATTTTAAGTGCTGTAAAAACTAATTCATGTTATATGTGGGTTTTAAGTACAGTAAAAACTAGCCAATGTTATACGGGTATTTTAAGTACAGCGAAAACTAACTCATGTTATACGACAGCGAAAACTAACCTATATTATACGACACTCAAAATGCTGTGAACCCTTTTTTCATTTTCATATTTATCTCTTTCATCTCTGTAATTTTTTTAATGTTTATCTCTTCTTTCTCTCTCTAATTCTTTTTAATATTTATCTCTTCTTTCTCTCTCTAAATCTTTTCTCTCACTAACTCACTTAAAATGCCGTAAAACTTTTTTTCATTTTCATATTTATCTCTTTCATCTCTCTAAATTTTTTTATATTTATCTCTTCTCTCTCTTTAATTCTTTTTAATATTTATCTCTTCTTTCTCTCACTAACTCTCTCTCTTAATGTTTAAACACGATTCCAACACGGTACAAATCCGACTCCGTCTTATTTTCATAGGGTATGGGGCTGAAGGGAGTTTTTATAAGGTACACACAGGTTGTTATACAAATCTCCTTAGAGAGAGAAAGAGAGTTCGAGAAAGAAAGAAGAGATAAAAAAAAATTAGAGAGAGAAAGAAGAAATAAATATTAAAAAGAATTAGAGAGAGAAAAAAGAGAAAATATTAAAAAAAATTAAAAAAAATAAAAAATAAACAATAAAAAAAATTAAAGAGATAGAGATAAATATAAACAAGATGAAAGACATAAATATAAATAGTAAAAAAAAATTTACGACATTTCGAGTGACGTATAACATGAGTTAGTTTTTACTGTACTTAAGATGGCTTTACAGTTTTTTTTTCTAAATAGAAAAAAATTAAAATATATTTGTGATAATTTTCCAATTTTTTTGCGCCAAAAAAAAAAAAATGCATTTTAAATTTTTTTTAAGTAATATAGGTTGAAGAAGGTTATATCCTCTTAAAAGTACTTAGATTAAGTTTTGCCGAAGGATTAATTAGGTAACTCCCTCGAGATCATGAAATCTTTTGGTATTTCGAAAAATGAAAAATCTCTCCACGAATCTGAGAAACGGCGGTACCCGTTAAAACCCGCTCGCTGCCCTCCTCTGCTCGTGCTCAGGTACTCTCTCATGCCACTCTCTCCTATGTTCTCTCGCATCCCCGACCTTCTCTATCTCTCAAGGGCTCTCACACCTCTGCACTCTCTTTGTAGTGCTCTCACACCCCTGCACTCTTTCTGCAAATCCCTCTAAGCCAATTTGGGTTATAGCCCTTATCCATCAGCTCTCGTATCATTATCTCCTCACTCTTCGAGGGCTCAGGCTATTTCAGATTTTTTTTTTTTTGTTGTTTTTAATTTTTCTCATCAATTCAAAAGGGATTTGGATTGATGGGTTGTTGCATAAGATTTTTTAGATCAAGTTTTTCTTTTTTGGGATAAATTATCTGTAAATGATGGATTTTTGGGTTTTTTGGTTTCTTTTTCATTTGGATTTTTGAGTTTTCTGGTTTCTTTTTCACTTGTTTTGGTTCCTTATCAGTTTTGGTTTCTCTCTCTTATGTGCCCATGTCTCGCTCTCTGTGGTGCTCTGATTTTTCATGTTGATGCTTTGATTTTTCGTGTAGCATCAATAGCTCACTAAATCTCTACTATCGCCATATTGTAGCCATTTCCAATCGCCTTTGCCTCTTTGATAAGGTCTTTAAGCTTTTTTTATTTTTCATTTCCCATTTATTCATGCAAGATCTTTGATCAAATGCGCTACAAACCTAGAAAAGTATCCAAATGTTGATATTCTTGATAGAATGTGATTGACACTGTAATCAACGAAACTTTAGAATTTAGATCAATGGATTGATTTTTTATGACTAGTTGTTGTTCCTTCTTAGGAATGCACATTATTCCTTACTCAAGTAGCTATTCCTGCTTAGGAATGCAACTTGGAGCATTCTTGTGGTATCAAAATTGTTTTTGTTAGAAGGCATTGCTTTCTCTTCCAACAGGTTAGCAATGGAATTCAGAACTTGGGGGTAAGAACCAAGTTGTTGGGAACCTTATATGATCTGAGTAATAATTTGATTCATTGGCAATGGATTTTCTTAGGAGTCAATGGAAGTGCTCAATGGCCCATCACAGGACTATTATTATTATTATTTACTATGCAAGTAGGGGCTTTGGATTATTTTTTAGATAATGGTGGGCTTGATTGTAATTGATTTTACTAGCTGAATAGGTTGCTAAAGTGAATAGTCAATCAGATGCTTTGAATGCATAAATGAAGAAATCATATTGTTTTTGGGAAAATTAGGAAAACATACGTGTATACTTTGGTAATGAATAATGTGATACTCATTTTTTAGATAATTGAGGGCTTGATTATAATTGATGTTAATGGTTGAATAGTTGTTAAAACGAATAGTCAATTAGATGCTTTGAATACGTAAGCGAAGAAATCAAATTGTTTTTTAAGAAATTATGAAAATCTGTGTATACTTGAGTAATGAATAATGTGTAATTCGTTTGTATACTTGAGTAATGAATAATGTGTAATTCGTTTTTTAGAAGTTCCTAATCTTCTAGCACGTTGTCAAACACAGGCACTTAGAACTTCTTTAACATTCCAGCAGGTTATCAAACACAGAAACCCAAAACTTCTTATAATTAATTCTTTCTTCCTAGCAAAGAGGAACTTCCAATTTACAGTTTATGAACTTGCTTCCAGTTATCAAAGAGGCCCATGCTATCATATCCCTTAAGGGCGGAAATGGGTTGGATTTGAGTCAACCCGACCCATACCTGATCCGATTAGGTCTAAGTTAGACCTACGCTTGACCCAAACCCGGTTTGGGTCTGGGTCTATATATACATCTATGTTATATATTTTATAATACAAGCATTATTTTTATGTGATCTATACTAATATATTCTGGTCAACTTGGCCTCGACTTGACCTGACTCAATAAGATCGATGCTGGACCCTGACCCTAACCTGAACTCATTTGGCAAGGTCAAGTGGACCGGGACCCAACCTAGAACTGGTGGGGTCAAGCATTACTTATTTTTATAACACACACACACTCTCTCTCTCTTATTTATATATCTAACTCTCAACAAATTAAAAATAGAATGGAAGAGAGAGTATTAAAAATTGTCTAATCGTATAAAAAAATATATAACTTAATAATAGTAGGTTAAAATATAATACATAATATAATTATAATAAAATAAATAGTATATCTAATATACTTGTGTCGGGTAGGGTCAACTTAGACCGAACCCAACCTGACTTGATTTGGACCCAGATCTAGACTTGAACCCTATCTGAATTGATGCCTGGTCCCTACTTTTGGACCTGGACCTAGACCCAACATAGGTCGACCCTTCGGGTTGGAGGGTCGATCAAACCCGTTACCCACTTATAGTATCCTTACAAAATTTATGAACTTCCAAAATATTTGTCTAATCCAATGTATTAAGACTCGATGATTTCCTTCCAAATCCTCAATTCTAGGAATCTGTCAAAGACCGAATCAATTATGAGATGATATAGGTCCCTTTTTAGGAAAATTATAGATACTCTCAAAATGAACTTTATATATATTCTACTTTCAATACTTTTAGTATCCCACTCACACCCAATTACTATTTTTTTTTTTGCTTTTACCCCTTTAGTCAAAAAATAAAAATAATTGGGACTAAACTACCCCTTTCAACAACCATCTCCTCTCTCTCTCTCCCGAACTCTCTCTCTTATCTCTCCTTAAAACTCTCTTTCCTCTCCCGAAAACTCTCTTTCTCCTATTTTCTCTCGCTCACTATAAGGGCCCGTTTGATAACGCAAGTTCATGAACTGTAAATTGGAAGTTCCTCCTTGCTGAGAAGATAGAAGTTACTGGAAGAAGTTTCGGTTTCTGTGTTTGATAACCTCTTAGAAAGTTAATGAAGTTCCTAGTTTCTATCCAGCCACTATCACCAATGACAATCAAGCCCACCATTATCGGAAAAACGAATTATACACATTATTCATTGCTCAAGTATACGCAAATATTTTCATAATTTCCCCAAAAACAATCTGATTTTCTCATTTATGCATTCAAAGTATGTAATTAACTATTAACAGCCTATTCAGCCATTAACATTAATTACAATCAAGCCCACCATTATCAAAAAAACGAATTACACATTATTCATTACTCAAGTATGTACATATATATTTTCTTAATTTCCCCAAAAATAATCTAATTTTTTGATTTATGCATTCAAAGCATCTAATTGACTATTCACTTCAACAACCTATTCAACTATAAACATCAATTACAATCATATCACTTTTCTTGTAACCAACATAGGTATAATCAGTTACAATTGTATCAACATTGATGAAGTATAGACAGTTTGATCAGATAAAGCCCAACCATTTTCCAAGTATCGAAATATTCTTAACATGCAAACCCACCCAAACTTATGAATTAGAAAGGACTGGAAAAACAACTGGTAATTTCTTGTAGGACACAAGGAACAAATGAGCCTTGCCAGCTTTACATCTCCACCATTAGATTGACTCATTGCTAATACCCCCACAAACAGGAAAAGTGTTCAGAGCATAAAGGGAGACAGGAAGCAAAGAATGGCATTAATTAACACAACACATTAGACAGGTAAAGGAATGTTAGAGAGAGAGAAGTAGAAAGCAGATGCCCCTATTGATTCCTCTTTCCAATGGTGTATACCATGTACTAAGTTGCTAGCCAGCATGAATTCACAGAATCTGACCTTGTATTCTTATTTTGTTAGTAACTCTACTATAATAAGAATTATATGAAAAAGCTATTATTCTTGTAATCTTGGATATTAGAAGCCCTAAAATGCCACAACAAATTCCCTTCGCAAATTCCTGAAATTGGGTTATGAGAACAACCCTAAAAGACAAAACACTGGCATTTCCTCAGATTGGGAGTGTGAAAGAAATCACAAAACACTAAATTAAGGAATTTCCTAGAAATGAACATGAAAAGAAAAAGACCCCAAAACATAAAATCTTTATACAACTGGCATCTCAAATAGAACCCCGAGACATTAAACTCTAAAATTTGGGTATCCATAAAATCCCCTAAAACTTCACTAGGTATGATCTATGGAGGTTTAAAGATTCCACAACCAGAAACCAGATGTTGTTTTCAGAGAGAGAGAGAGAGGGCGGGGGGTTGTACCTGATGACGAGGAGCAGTTGTGGAGGAGGCGGAGGTGGAGGTGGAGGTGGAGGTGGAGCCGAAGGTGGAGGCGGAGGCGGAGGCGGAGGCGGAGGCGTGGAGGAGCAGTCGTGGAGGAGGCGGAGGCGTGGATTGCAGTGCGTGAGGGTGTTGACAGAGGTCGGGGCCCTGACTTCCTTTCATCCGGCAAATGTTTCTTTTTTAAGTTCCATCTCTTTACTCGAAACTTTTTTTTATGGGCACATTTGATAACAGGAACTTACTTACGAAAAGATGGAACTTATCTGTTAATATAAAAAAAACTTCATTTTATTGTACGTCTTCCCACTTTACACATAAAAAAGTAAATGGTCTTTTTGTAAATTATTTAATTCTATTTTTTCATTGTATTCCTTATTTAATCTTATAAGATTATTGACTTTCATGGATTATATGCCTCACGATAGTTTAACCCCTTTTGGATTATACGTCTATATTAGTTTTTGCATTTTTAATCGAGTTCAACTCCCTCTGACTTTACTTTGATCCCAATTTCTTTTCCCAAGTTTCCAAGTTTTTACCATTTTCTATAGATAAATGAATATCTTGATAATTTGCAGTAATAAATGAGTATCTTGATAATTTGGAGTAATAAATGAATATCTTGATAATTTGCAGTAATGGGGTCCAATGAATTGAGGATTTTGTTAATTTATGTGTTCTTGTGTTTCCTTTCCATTTCTTTGTGTCTACTTTTGCGCATTGATATCGGGTATTATAGGGAAAGCTTTCTATATTCACCTACAACATATAAATTTTATCCTTTCCCTTATCCAACCTTCCATTTTTTAATAGAGGGTTAAGATTGTTTCAATCACAATGTCACGTCTCTACACTATTTTATTTTTAAATTTTTTTATAAATTATTTTGACACCAAAATTTAGACATCCATTCCTCTATTCAACTCGTATTAACAAAAAATATATAAAAAAATATTTTTGATAAAATAAAATGATCAAAATATTTTTAAAAGTTTTAAAGGGTATTTTGGTCATTATTTTTTATCAAAAAATTATTGTTAATATGTTTTGTACGTGTATCCTACTGAGAAGATGATACGTATTAAATTTTATATTAAAAAAAATAATATTAAAAAATTAAAAATAAAATACTTTGAAACATTGAACCTAAAATCAAACAATAAATAACTCTCTCGGTAAAAAAAATAGAAAGCTCGGGAAATGAATAGAACTTCTACGATGTAAACGGAACCTCTAAAGCTTTTCCCGTACTACATACCAACTTGCTAGTCTAGGAATTCTTATGTTATTGTAGTGAAAATAGGTAAAGGTCGGTGTACTATGGTTTCTAGAACCATAGATAATCTATGGTCATCAGTGTCACAGATGCGGTGATGGTGAGAGTGGATCTACAATTGTCGTGTCATGTCTTATTAGTCCAGTCTCTCTCCATCACAGTTGATTGAGTAGAGGATCGACACTTATGGCCTAGATTTTCTATGGTAATATGATCATAATCACAAGTTTCTTAGAACAATCTGGTATTGAGTCTCTCTCTCCTGTTGAAGCCCTCCCTCCGGCCTCCTCTTTGTCTCTCTCTATCTCTACGCGCGTTGCCGGTAGAGAAATGACCCAAGTTCTCCAAATCTCTCTCTGTCTTGTATATCACTTAAGTTCTGCAAACCTCTATTTCTCTCTCTCTCTAAAATGGAGGCTTTATGATCTAAGTTCTGCAAATCTCTATTTCTCTGTCTCTCTAAAAACAGAGGTTTTATGCAGCAAGAGCATGTACGAGGGGCGTTGCATGAAAGGATGAATTCCAATGTTTTGCATTTATCAATAAAAAGACTGTTACCACTGCACCCCAAAACCTTATTCTTCTCTCACTATAACCTTTAGATGGCTTCTCTCTTATCCTCATCTAATGGGCAATGTTTACAAGAGAACCACAAGAAAAAGAAGAAGAAATTAAAAAACTCTTCCACCACAACGGGTAATCTCTCTCTGTTTCTCTCTCTCAAACCAAGACTATAGCTTGTCTTCATGTCTAAATCTCTCGATCTATGGGCAAAAACCATTGGAGCAAGCATGCCATCATTCCCAAAACCACCACCTTTTCTCTCTTTATTGTGAACCCTGATACCATGACTGCCTCCATTCCCAACGCCACACTCCCCCACTCTCTTTTTCCTGTTTTGGTTTCTTCTCATGAATTCTCACTCTAAAGCTATTTTGAAATGCCCAAAATACTTCCTTTAAATTGGACCAAAACATGGAGAGCAAAATCTCCACCTCTCTTACCATTTGACCCAAAACC